GGAATTAAGGTGGGTCGTGAGGACATGAAGATGCAGCTTCCTGCCACTGATTCTGTGAACTGACATTGATAGCTGAATTTTCATCTTCCTCAGCCCTGGGCCAAACCCGCTACCCCAGCCATCCTCACATACTCTGAAAATTTCATCTGGAAGAGGCTGTTAGATCACCACTGAGCCAGGGGATCCCTGGACTAGTCTCGAGAAGAATTTGGGAAGACCAGGAGGAGGTCCTCTTGCTTCTCCCCTGCATCCTGAACCCCCCAACTTGCCCCCAGGTGGCATCGGGCCTAGGACCCGCCTCCTGCACCAGCCCCACACCCCAGCCTCTGGATCTGGACGCAGGGCCGGCAAGGGTGTTCAGCTGTTTGCTGAAGGAATTTATTCATTTGACCCATCTTCTCTTCCCCACTGTTAGTTTTCAGTTGCAACAAAGATTCAATAGAGCTCTGAAGAAAGAGCCAAGAAAAATGTTACATCCCAAAGAAAGACCTTGCAACAAAGCTGGAAACTGAGCCGGAGGCCAGTAAACCCAAGGCAAGAATGTGACTTCCGGCGGGGTGCCCAGGTGCTCTCAGATCACCTGCTCTGTGGTCCAGCCCCCTGCTCTGCCCTGCCCCAGGTGGCCACATGACTGTGGTGTACTTTGCTCTGGAGCCTTTCGGGAAGGGAAGAGGCCTGACCTTGAGGCTGGGGGCAGGGCAGGCACCACCCCGGCCCAAGGTTTCTGCTTCTGGCTCCTGCTCTGGGCTCTGTTTTGCCCTGGTGCCCTGCCCACCCGCAGAGGAAAGCAAACCTTTCCCCAGGCCATACGGAAGGAGAACTGAACATGGCAGGGGCCCTGTCGGACCGGTGATAACAGGCTGATTGGCTCCCTGGAAGTGACCAGGCTTGAGACAGGTGAGTCATTGTTTAAATCTCTGTGCATTTGGCCATTTGGCAGGGTGTGTGTGGGTGTGTGTGTTTGTGTCTGTGTGTGTCTGCACGTGTGTTTGTGTGTCTGTGTGTCTGAGAGTGTCCAAGCGTCCGTTGTCAAAGGTGCAAAGCTGGGCAGAGGCACTTGCTTTTCTGAGGGCCAGAGGTCCTCGTGTTTAGACCCCTGGTGGCTCCCTAAGTTGATTCTTGGAAGGAAATTCCTATTTAAATTTTCCTTAAGGGAAATTGCAGGTAAAGGCCTGGAGTGAAAATGAGGGTAATGAAGAGAAGCCCTTCGAAGAATCCATTTCAGGTGACCCAGAAATAGTCTAGAGTCATGATGTCCAAAGCGCATGTCATATTTTCTTGCAATATTACCTTTTAAAATCTACATCTTATTTTTCTTCTGTATCAAATGGCCACATTGTTCTGGAAGCAACATAACAGTGGGAATGATCACCTCAGTCTTCAGGAGCCTGGGCAAGGGTGGGACACAGAGCTCCCCCAGCAACAATCTCGCCAAACCAGAGGTCCCCAGGAATGGTCCCTTCACCCCCAATAGAAAGACTAGTTGAGGTCTGCTGTCTTTTCTTTCCCCTTGGTGGAATGGAGGTGTAAGAGATGAAAAAAGCCCCAAATCAGGATTGTTGGGGAAGCCTCATCTTTGTCTTCCAAGAAGCCCAGGTTGGCTGTATCCTGGAGGCCACGCCAGGTGCCACACTTTCAACTTTCTCTTGGAACGGAGGGCTCCAGCCTTTCATTACTGGAAGCTTACAACACATGGGCACACCAAGAATCACACGTGAAAATGTTTACTGCAGCCGGGTTTTATTCCAGAGAAAAAAATCAAAACCAAGTGAAAATCTAGTAATAGGAAAAAGGTCCGGCAGATTGGGATAGTTGTAGGAATGTTATGTTTGTTAAGCTTTTTAAAAAGATAGAATAAGTATAATTTTATGTTAATGCTATTTTTTTTTAAAGAATCATAGGAAAAACTTAAAGTAGACAAAAACAACACTTATGATTGTGCTCGGGGTGTGAGGTTATGAGTAGTTTTTTTATATGTTGATAATTATATGTTTATATTTATACTAAAAAACATTTTTTTAAACAAAGAGATGATGAGTCACTGTCAGAGGATTAAGATGCTGTGTCTGGTGTATTTGTTCACATTTTACCGAATTCTGATGTGTTTCGGGCCATAGATTTTCATGACATGAAATGGGTTTTGTATATCGGTGTGAGGAAATGGCAAAGAAAACTTGAAGGGCATCTTTAAATACTTACTAACATATCTCGGGCTGTGTCAAGACTTGCTCCTCATGTAACATTATGATAAGCACTTCGATAAGAAACAGGGTATGAGCCCAAGGTGGCCTGGAGAGTTCCAAAACTCCGTGCTTAAAAGTGGTTTGGGCCGGACGTGGTGGCTCATTCCTGTAATCCTAGCACTCTGGGAAGCCGAGGAGGGAGCATCACTTGAGGTCAGGAGCTTGAGACCAACCTGAGCAAGAGTGACCCCCTGTCTTTAGGAAAAATAGAAAACCAAGCTGGCTATGGTGGTGGGCGGCTGTCGTCCCAGCTACTCAGGAGGCTGAGGCAGGAGGGTTGCTTCAGCCTAGGAGTTTGAGGTTGCTATGAGCTATGATGATGCCCCTGTACTCTAGCTGGGGTGACTGAGGAAGACTCGGGTTTAAAAAAGAAAAAAAAGAAGAAGTGGCTTATCAGGACTTGCTACTGAGCTGGCCATCTTGTTTCTAGTGAGTGGCAGTGGTGGTTCCCCTGGGCCGGTGATCCTGATGCAGATGGCTTGTCTGCCGCTCTCTACCCAGTGGTGGCAGCCACCTGCCTTGACTCTGTGTCTCTGTCTAGAAAACGCTGCTGGCCACCCTGTGAGATGCCCTGACACGGGGCCCCAGAGTGTCCTGCTCAGTGTCAGTAGAGGCCCGGTGCAGCTGGCCTGGGTGGGTCTATGAGGTACCCACCCTGCTTACTCCATGGGGGCCCATGTGCTGGTCTTGGTCAGCTCCTCACCTGAGCGGGACATGTGGTGGACTTTTTGCTTTTCTTGGCTACTCAGAGCTGAGTTTCCTCAGTGGCTGCTGGAGACCCTTCTCTCTCTTTCCACAGCTGCCCAGTCACTGCTTGACAAGCACCTGGGGTATGATAGGTGGTGAAAGCCACACAGGGGATGAGATGGTCCCATTACAGCTTCCTGCTGGCCCCCCTCCTGCAATCCTGAGGTCACCACTGAGTGTGTGCTATGTGCAACCTCAATGCATGTAGATGTAGATATAGATACCTCAACCTCAATGCATGTAGATACCAAGACAACAATTAGATCTTGTCAGAGGCTTACAGCCCAGTCAGAGAGATAAGTCACTAATAAGAGAATTATTCCAATTAGGCTCAAAAACAGATAATTTCACTCCAGAAGAGGAGCGGGGAAGTGCAGGCTCACGATGGCAGGGACTTTGCCTATTTTATTCACTATTTGTAGGAGTTGCTGTGAGTGGGGGCAAGGCTGGCAGTGGGAGGCCAGTTAGGAGAGAGATTTGCACTAAGCCAAGTGGAGAGAAGTGAGAAATCACAGGGGCTTTATCTGACAGTGCAATCCCATTTTCAGACAGTGAAGTGGATGGATCAGTCCTGGTGGGATCTGATCAGAGACAGCACCTTTCTGTCACCTTTCTTGGTGACTCATTTGGAACTGTGGACTCTGCGGCGCCCTTTGGCTTGCAGGCTGTGTCACAGACTAGTTTCCTTCCTGGAGGGAGGGCTCGCTGGTGTTTCAAGGTGCGTTCCCATTTGCCCTTGTTGTTTATTTTTCTTTTATTTTTAATTTTCTGCTAGCAGTCGGACTCTGGGGAGGGAATTGCTTTGGGTGCTTGAGTTGGCAAGTGGGGCATTAGGAAGCAGAATGGGCCTGTCCGGGACACTTGCTGGGCAGCTGTGGGCCTGTGGAATGTGGATGTTCAGGGCGGCCATGCCGAGCCCTCACCATGCTGCTCTGAGAACCTGTCCCCAGCTAACTCAGCCAAATTCTCAGCAGGACCCTGTTCCCATCCAGTTAGGCCCTGTCTTAGTCCACCTGGTGCTTAGAACACCTGAGACTGGGTAATTTATAAAGAACAGAGACTTACCTCTTAGGGTTCTGGAGGCTGGGAAGTCCAAGGTCCAGTGCCTGTGCCTGGTGAGGCCTTCTCAGCGCATCTCCCGTGGAGGAGGGAGGAACGGCAGGAGAGCAAGCTTCGACGGGCAAGAGAGAAAGATGGAACTCTAGGCCTGAAGCCCACTGAGGACTGGCAAGGATCCATTCGTGGGGATGGAGCCCTCCTGACCTTGACATCTCCCGTAGGCCCCACCTCCCAGTGCCGTGACATTGAGGATTAAGCTTCCAACACCTGCTCTTTACGGGACACATTCAAACCACAGCAGGCCCCCAGAAGCTGTCCTCACTTCAGGCAAACAGCTCAAGACACAGGTGCTGGATTATGTGCTCATCCTCTGTGCTGGAACTTACTTGTTCCTTAGGTATTTACTGAGTACCTACTATGTGCCAGGTACCTGTGCTTAGCCCTGAAGAAGTTAGACAAAATCCTGGCAGTATTCTCAGCATTGGTTGCTAAAAAAATAAAAACAAAAACATGGTTGGAAAACTTAAGACAATTTTATTTTTCTAATCCTTCTCTGGACTGGCCTCAGACTCAAAAGTGAAGCTTGAGTGTATTCCCATTTAAGATGGGGTCCCAGGTGTGCTTTCTGCAACTGTGGAGTCTGCCCTGGTTAACCCCTTTTCCCCACTCAGTGGAAGCACTGAGACTCTTCTCTTCTGGATTCTATACCTCTGCAGTTATTCTGTGGCTGGGACAGTGTCACTGGTATTTAGGACTTTGTCTTGTTTGTTTACTTTCATCTTATCCCCGCAGGGCATCCAGACCGGCCAGTGGTGGCCCAGGCTGCTTGTTGGGGCAGCGAGGTAATGTGGGCTGCTCTCCCTGCTCACTGCTCTTCCTCCCTTCTCAAAATTCCTCCCTGTCCTCATTGTGGGAACCTCCCGCTTGGCTGCTGTGGTGAGGGAGGGAGAGGAGACCCTGCCCACAGGACTAGCTGCCCCCTTGATGGGTCCAGATATTGACTGGAGGCCGTTTCTCTTCCTAGAGGTCATCCAGATAGAATACAAAGTGATGCCAGTGGAGTGTCCGAGGGAGGTAGCAAGTCCAGACAATGGCCTTCAGTGACCACTGACCTTGTAAGAAGACAGCCAGGCGTTACTCGCCACCCGGGGAAAGCAGCCATCACACTCCCAAAGCATTCTTATCTGATGAGGCTTCTGTCCTGAACCACCAAGCCGTAGAAAATACAGGGTTCCCAGAAATATAGTCAGTAACAACACAGGGACGAAACCAGCAAATCCAGACCGGAGCCGGGCAAGGCAGCCTGATTCCTCCCACGAGTCAACTGCACAGAGAAGAAAAAAATCTGTGTCTATACTGCGGTTTGCAAAGGTGTGTGCCTGGGATTTGCTTTACACCAACCTGGTGGGGGGAGGTCCAGGGATGTGGGTGACTAGCTTGGCCAGAGCTGAGTACTGGGGAAGTAGGAGGTGGGTCCCTGGGCCCAGCAGATTGTTCCTTGAGGATGGTGTGCAGGGAGCTTTCTGTAACAGAGACATATGCAGAGTCCAGCCATTACATTTGGATAATAGAGCTGGCTTTTCTCCAGGGCACTGTGGGTTCTAAAGCTTTAGACACAGTGGGGAGAACATTGTTTTGAGATCATTGAAGCACCAACTTTAGCCCATGAATGAACAAGTGTGAGGTGCTCAGATACTTTTTACCTCTTGGGTGTTTCAGGTAGTTTCTGGAAGACGTAGCAGGTTGGTAAAAAGAAGCAGTGGGATGAGGACAGTGTGCAGTGAGTCCACCAGCAGGCAGCAGCGTTTCTCAGGGTCTGTGGTGGCTGGTGCCGGGCACTTGTCTGGTGTAGCTAGTTTTGTTTTTCGTGACAGACCTGTAGAAAAGATCTTGTGTACCCACGTTACAGCTGGGGAGTTGGGGCACAGGGTGCAGGGTTGAGCAGGGCTCCACCTGGGGGTGTCTGACTTGGGACCCCTGTTCTAGGCCGTGCATTGATGGGGGAAGTGCCAGGGAGGGAGCTCACTGCCATGTTCCAGCCTCAGTTGTCCAACCTGCTTCAGACAGTGTGTTTGTTCCTTTGCAGGCCATGGCGGAGGCGCAAGGGAGCCCCGGGCCCTGGGCCGCCCCTGACCAGCCCTGTGTGTTCAAGCTGGTTCTCCTGGGCAGTGGCTCTGTGGGCAAGTCCAGCTTGGCCCTGCGGTACGTGAAGGATGACTTCAGGAGCATCCTGCCCACTGTGGGATGTAAGTGAGGGGTGGGGACAGGGCCCCTGACCACCCACTGTAGGATGTAAGTGAGGGGTGGGGACAGGGCTCCTGACCACCCACTGTGGGATGTGAGGGGTGGGGACGGGGCCCCTGACCACCCACTGTGGGATGTAAGTGAGGGGTGGGGACAGGGCTCCTGACCACCCACTGTGGGATGTAAGTG